TTATTTTCGGTTGTACTATAAATTAGAGAACACTTTGTGCTGTGTTGGTGATTTTTTCACAATTTAGGTGTGGTAGAACATTTCACGTTTATTTAGTATTGCAATGATGGGACAGCTTGTAACTATATGTTCTGTCACTGGAGATTTAATCTATGGAACATTCGCCATTGTAATGAATTCCAAACAATCGTAGAATATTTTGAAGAAAGCCCATACTCGGAACATCTGAATTATCAAGAAATTACCAATACAGTATATATGTACATCATGAAGATTGATGGCTAACTCCTTCATTTGTCCTGTACTGCGTAACTAATATTTCAGGAAGACGTATTTTACCGATATATCAAGATACATCTTCCAACATCCATTCCTCTTTCAAGAAAACAGTTCGACGGTCGTGCAAATGATCACCTACATGGAAACCTTCTCTCGCAGACCCGTGCATTTTATCAACTGTACCTAAAACATCGTCGCACCAATCTAGGAATGATTTTATTTTCGCGAAACACGTAAATAACGCGTTCGCTCGATCGACACTTTTCATTACTCTGAAATTTTGATCGCGAACCCTCGTCAAACGATTACCCGGAAGACTTGAATCGCGAAGATTAATGTTTCGTTCACTGTCTAAACGTCAGTATCAATTTATTATACCTCGAAGCCAATCCCATTTATTAAATCGCGCGCTATCGTTTCGCTTTCGATAATTTCTCGAGCGTAACATACGTTAATTCCATAAAAACCGTCGCTCGAGGGGCATAACTGGCGGATGTTATTCGATTCACTCGAGTCGACGTTACACGGATCGTGGAATTAATTGGCCTACCTGACGCGATACGACAAAACGTTGCCCGCGCGAACCTCGGCCGCTTCGAAATCACTCTTCTGTCAGAATGTCGCAGTTTTCTTGCCCGCCGATATTTCATACACCGCGAGTGGATATCCGCCCAATCCCCTTATCCGGACTCTCAATCGTATCTGCGTCAGCTGGAGATACACTCGAAATAGATGAACTCTTGGCCTAGATCTTTATCCGTCCGTCGTTTCAATGAAAACGATCGAATCGTGCCTCTAAGAATCACCCGCCAGCCATCGGACCCGCGCATTACCAGCAGCTGCGCTTTCAGGTTCGGTTTTCGGGCGCAGGGAGAATCGTATCGATACCCCGTTGCCCTATCGACCATGGATCGTGAAATACAGAAACTCGCCACCTATTTCCGCCACCCTGACACGTGGCCCCCTTTTCTTTTTACGAAACGTCCGATAAACGTCCACCGGCAAGGTTTTCCGGTTCATTCGTCATTCCGCCTGACAGCGTTCCGATTTCGTTCTTTATGTCCCCATCTCTGGTACGACACAGTCTCGAAGTCGCACGACGAACGAGGTTCCAGTGTTTGAGTGTACCCCGTCGAGGAGGTAGGCGTTTTGGTCTCGTCTAATGAACCGCGAAACGAACGATATTTGCAATTTTTTTTTTAGCGCAGACTACATGACGGATTAGAACGAAACTTTGGACACTTGTTAACATACTCGTGGAAATGCTACGCGAATTTTTTCGTGCTATTTACTGTCGCGATAAACAAGTTACGAATTTTATTGTGATGCTGTACCAAAAGTACCATAGTAACGATCGGAAACGAAAAACAGGGACTGATTATTATTCTGTACGAATATTGTTTTTGTATGACTTATACAAAATTGGACCCCTTTGCTATCGGTTAACTGAATCAGAGACGGAACCCTCGTTCGTCGTGCTCCACCAGAACGTAGTACCTTTATCGAAGACGAGAGTGCCGGTGAAACCGTTCTCCAGTGATTTCTGATTATTTCGCGGGTCCCACGTTTCCTTGGAAGTCTGTAATCCAGTGACGAACGCGTAGCCTACGCGTTCTAACCGCGCCATTTCCATTCATAGTCTGCCCCGTGCAGGGAGAAAAAGACATGAAGTCACGTAAATCGCCACGCGATAGAGAAACGCGGCGAATATTCCTCTGTAGCTGCAGCGGCTCGATACTTCCGGCCCCGAGCACGATAGAGACAAGCCACACCATTAAGCGGCGTGATACCCACATACAAATCACGTCGATCCGCGATTTATGGTCCCGTTCACCCTCTCGCGCTATCGGATTATCAGTCCCACCGGTTACAGTCCCTGAAACGAGATTCCACAAACAAATGTCTTTTGCTCTTGAAATTATAAATATTTGTCATTTTAATTTTCTTTAGACCACCCGAGCCCAAAAGATCTCAAAACTGGCCAAATTCTTGCGCCAAAAAGAGTTAACGAGTCTAGAGTGCACTCGTTCCGTCATTGCCTCGGTCCCGTCGCGTTCAATTCGAAATGCAATACACTTGAAAATTTTCAGATTCCATACCCAACTGTTCCTCGAAGAAACGGAGAAAATTCAACGTTTTTCCACTCGAAGACTCCGTTCAATCACTCTGCAATCTCGGGGAATCTGTTTGCCGATCCTCCCTCGATTCCCACGAGGCTCGTCGACTTCAAGCTTTTCTTTCGGATTCGACGTTTCCTTTAGTTTCCTATAGACCCGCTAACCATGTGCTGCAAACTCCGTACACGGCAACGCTAACCCAATTAACCTGGAGCTGGCTTTAGCGACGGTTCTTAATATTTTATGTCCCGTAGAAAGTTTCAACTACCCCTTATCGATTCCTTCCAGCGTGTATCCGCTTCCAGAGCTTATTTTCGCGAAACTGCACCCTCGTGCGCGGGTCGATCTAAAAGAGGGCTTAAGAAATCTAGGGGGAAATTGTACTCGCAAAAGTAGAGAAGGAAGTGCTCGATTAGCAAAGCAATTCTGCTGGAACAACTTTGAAAGAACCGCGCGGCCCGTGGCCGTGTTGAACCAAGAAGTCGTTAAGTGGATTCTCTATTTTTGGGAGTAGTTATATATTAATAAAGAGAAGATAATTTTACGTTCTTAAGAAGACCTTTATTCCACGTTTCGGTCCTCTGGTTTCAGAACGTCTCTGGTGTATTTATTTTATAAATATTGTCTCTTGAATTTTAATATTTTTCTTAGTTTTTTCAGTCTATTGTAATTTCTTTTATACTTTGCCCTATGTAATACGAAACGTAAAATAGAGGCTTCCGTGGGACTACACATGCACCTCGAAATTCTTCGACCTAGATTTTAAATCGGCCCGTGTTTCATTGATTTAACTTTGTCCTCTTTATCTGGCATCGCTGTCGATTCACCGCCCACGATTCTCGCAGGTCCACGCAGATTTCGAATCGACTCCCCCTTCTGTACACGCCCCACCGTCGCTTTGTACGAGTTCAACAATGGCTATAATTCACTGGTGTGTATCCCCGTTTTCATTCCCCGTCTTTTCACCGTGTCCTGTCCATTCTCCTCTGTTTACCGCGCCGTTCTTTCTCCGCCGATGTTCAGCGCCGCGCTAATGTTTCGATGGACCGCCTTTGCGCGGCCAGACCGACTTTAAACCATTTACCCGAGATCCCTTGTGGGATATATATTTTTCTCCTCATTTTTTTCATTTCTCTCTCGCTCTCTCTCTCTCTTTTTTTGTTTGTTCCTTCTCCGATTCCGACGCTAAATGCGCTCCGCTCGCGTAATGCACGCGGCACAGCATTTTTTCCTCGACCAAAAGCGAACCCCGCCGAGGAAAAATTGCGGACCGTGACGTCAGACCGTCCGTATTCATCGGTGGCACAAAACACGTTGGTATTTATTCAACCGGCTTAAAAGATCCTCGAGTTTTGTTCCCGCGTACGCGATGAAGTTTTTCTTAACGCGCGTCGGTATAAATTCCGCGTTATCGGCCACGACCGGGAGTAATTAATGTCCCCGGAAGTAATTAACGCGCGAAAATCACCGTCGATTATAAATATCGATCCCAGGCCCGTTTCAGTCGACCCACGGTTTCGTTGATTTCAGAAGAATTCAACAAGAATTATTTTACCCAGTGTACTTGTAAGACAAAACAATTACCAATCATTTCCTACGCAATGCCGGTCAAAATTATGGGACCATCCTCACGTTTAGTGATTATTTTCTGATGAAAATTCATTGCCATTTAAACCATTGCACTTGGCAACCATTGCTAATGGCCAATTTGAGAATCCAAACGTTTGTAATGCCGCATGGCTACGGTTTATGCAAATGGGAGTTTGAAAGGCGAACGTTTAGCTCGAAAAATCCCTTGCGGAACATTTGAAAACTCTTTTTCCCATTTTCAAGATATCTTTCGAAATTCCTTGTACGATACGTAAGTATGTTGTTGCATTAATATGAAAGCACGTAGAGCAATTACAAAACTAAAAGATCTTTCTCGCCTGGCTTACTAAATCATCGCAGAACGAGATTTTCCGCTTTCACGATTCTTTATGGTCTCACACTTCTGGCCGGTAGTGCGGTAACAGAGATTGCGTTGGCCAATCCTTTTTCAAGCATCACGTATAACCAAGTCGAAATGTTACTATTTTCATTTGTATTATACGTTCTTTCCATCAAAACTAGATCTCCACGATTCAAGAAACACGTAGCTGGCTGTTTCCTGAAAGATCAACTCATCGACCCTGTTTTTTTTATATACCTGGTGTTCGTGTTTTCAAATTCTGGAAAATGACGATACGAACCCTTGTACGCGTGGTATTTTTGTTGTCAGGGCAAACTTAACTGGCCTGGCGTGGAAATATATAAATTTAATTTGCAAGATAAAATAACAATCGCTAGGGGACTCACACGCCCAAGTAGCAAGTGTTAATAAAAGACTCAAAATTAAAATGTCAAACATCTCAAAAAAATCTTAGTTCCTCTTCCGTTTCTTTTTTGGTCGTCGATAGCCAGCTAAGCGTGTTCCTGCGATTCCGAAACGCCCAGTATATAAGTTATCTAGGGAATTCAGTTAAAAAAGCTTCTCATTTATTTTCACACCACCCCCAACGTCCCCGTTTTTGTTTTGTTTTTCCCCACATTCTCAGCTCTCTTCTTGTTCTTTATTAATGTCAGGAGTGCCGGCAGTGTACTACCACGGAACCGGAAGTGAGAATGCGAGCCGCGCGTATACGGAGACACCGATCCAACACGTCCAACGGACTGCAATCCGGAAGAAATGTATGAAGTCGACATTCACTTTGGACTGGAAACACGCATTACGGCTTCTTTTCCCCTCTTTCTCTATATATATCTACGTCTCTGTTTCTCCAATTTTCTTCGCAACTCTGACTTTCTGTTTCTACCACCTCTCCCCTATTCTCTGCCTGTCTATTTCCAATTTCAACTCGTTTTCGGAGGAATCGATCGCTGGTTTAGCTATTTACACGACGCGTGCGCGGGAATCCCGTGTTTTCGCGGTCTCGCCGTTCGATTTCGTCGATTATCGCCCTCGATCGTTCCCGTTCCGCATCATTTATCGCGGATTCGTACGTTCCTGGGGCACCCCTCAAAGCAGAACGCGTATGGGGAAATAACAACGCGATTCGAGGAATTGAGCGCTACTCGGGGGAGCACTACCGTAACCCGTTTTGCCCAATCGATAGCCATAGGTTCTATTATTACACGACAAATATTTTACGAGCACTCGTCGCGTCCGCGCGAACACGACATTCGATCCCGCCGATGCCGACTTCGAGGAATCCCTGTGCAAATATTGCACCACGCTCGACAAAAAGAAAAAATTCTAACGAGGGGAATTCCCTTAGGCGAAACGATGACTTTTTAACGTGCTAACGGCGATGAGGCTTGAAATAACGAAGCTAGTGCTCTCCCGTGGTCACGACACTGATACTTTTCGCGATATTCGTGGTAAAGTTTAAAATTCATTTTAAATGAGGAACTGGTGACTACAAGATAATTTTTTGGCGTTGAATCTAGAAAGTATCCTTTTCCCTCGTATTCATTGGATCTAATCAAAGAAATAATAAGAAATCTAAGCAACGAAGAATATCAGCCTCGGCAGACGAGAGTCTTTTCGAAAACTGTCAATCGCGTACCTTAAAAATCAAAATTATTCAGTACTTCAAACACCATCGCGTAAATTCGTTAGAAAGTCACAGTCGTTCGCCAAAGGAATCTTCTTCGTAAAGTGCATCGAGTGAATCGTTTATCGCGTATCCAGACCCGATATAAAGTTGTACGGGAGTGTGCTTTCGACCTGGTTTCGTCGAGTGGGTAGAGAAACAAAAGACACAGGCAAAATGGAAACGAAGGAATGAAAAGAACGGAGGAGAGGAGATTTAATTCCGGGGGATCGCGAAAGTGTTCGCGACGCTGAAGGAAAACCGTGATCGTCGCAAGGGTGCAAGGGAGGATTCAGCGACGAAGCAACACACATGGAACAATCACGTCTCTGTCTTCCTTTCGGACCCTCATCGCTTTGACGTCGCAATATTTGTCCTCTCGTTTGATTAGCCACTAGCTGGTGGCGTGAACGAGAAAGACGCGGCGAAAACGCGCGCGTACACGTGTGCATCAAGCGCGGAGCAGTTGTGATCAGAGTTTTATGTTTCAGTGGATCTTACCAACGGACAGCTCACCCCCAACAACAACACGCCCTTGCTCACGCAAGCTCTTTCTGGTACGTCTAAAGTTTTCCATTCTTTTCGGCTTCGATTCGGCTACCGCTTTCTTAATTTCTCTCGCAGAAACGTTGATGGAGTTATAGTTGCCGTAGATGGTTAAATTGATTCGAAACGAAATTCGAGGAGCGGCTTCATCCCTCTATCGGCGATGCAATACGTTAAATGTAAATGTTGGTAACGTTTCGACTTCTTTTTGTATCAATTTTCTAGGTCTTCAACGGATCATAGTCTTTTGTGGTTTGCGAAAGAAGACTAAAGGGATCTAAGATCAAGGCAAACGGGATCCAAGACAGAGAAAGAAAGGAAATTCTGTGGGAAGAACTTACAACTGTACCACTCCAATTTGTTCCCCCAATTTCAATATCAATATCGATCGTGAACTTTATATTTTCCTTCCTTTTTGTTTATTAGTATACCTTCTCTCATTAAATGAAATTTATATTAACCAAAAGTCTAATTAATACAGGGTATATTTTTATCGACAAGGATTCTATAACATTTATCGACTACAAAGATACCTATAGCCTCAAGCCAACAACATACACACATAATACATAAAAAAAAAAGATACCACTAACACGGGTAAGCTTCCACAGGATTTCCTTTCACTTTCTATAAATCTACCCGGCCCAACCCTACATATATCTCTCCACGCGTTTCGACACAAAAGACTACAATCTGCCGTAGACTCGCACAATTTCTATCAGGAAAGACGGACACCCTATCACGTTTACGAAGTGCGCACATCGCGGATAAAAGGGTGCCGGCGCTATCGGAATTTCGATTCCTATTAATTTTGTCTCGCATTAAAAAAGGCTCCCCGAGGAGGGGTTGCGTACACATCAGAATGCACGGCCGATATAAGTTCTCGCTGAGAACGACGCACGGTTTCCAATTCTTGATCGCTTTTCATTATCGAGTCACGCGATAGAACGAAAGCAATAACGGGAGAGAATACGGACGATAGCTTCCAACACGGAGCTTCTTACGAGGCCCTTCGTGATTCGCCAGATCGAGACGTTACGATATACCGACTCGGGATCCGGTATTACGAGCCGCTGCAACGGGACTGGAACTCGTGTAATTCAATCCCCTTTCGTGATTCGATTCTCGAGCTTTAACCGAAACAAGCTTTGCATTACGTCCCGCAATGGCAAATTGCAACCCTAATGCTGGCTCCTTCGTACTTCGAACGATGAGGCGAGTCGCTGTTCGCGGAACTTGCCAAAGGTTGCGCCAAGGTGTACCTGCGATTACTGCGTGCGAATAATTTCTCAGTCAGTGGAACCACGAGGTTGGGCTCTTCGATACGGTTTCAGAAGTTTCGAACGGCGGAGGACGCGATTGTTTTATTAAGGTCTGTTTGATTGGTACTCGATGGATCGATGCAAGTTGAGGTCTCTTGGCTGGGTAGAATTTATTATTGTTCGTAGATGGATACGATTAGGGAAGGTGGTAATTTCTAGTTGAACTTCATAGCTTTCCAAATGAGATATCCCTTGTTAGATGACTCTGTAATTTTAGTTTGTTGAAAGTACGCAGTGTTTTAATATTAATCTGTTTTTTGTATACGTTATTGAATATTGCATCAATTAAAATCAGTATTACAAACACTTAAAAAAAAAGTTACGTAAGTTGCACTCCGGCTATTAATCCATCTCTTAATTCAACTTTTGTAACATCGGTGAATTCTCGAAACAATTTCCAGCTTCCGTTCCAAATGAATAACAAACTTTGATATTTCGCAGTCTCGCATTTATTAATGAAACGTCCATGGCACGGCCGATAACAAATTTCTGCTAAAACCTGAACTCTCCGAACAATAGTTTTCTCGTAACACATTTCCCCTGAGTTATCGCAGAACTCGATAGACGATCAACAATTTCCTGCGAGGAACGACCGTTCGAGATCTCGCGGAGGGTAGATTGCGCGGACGAAATTTACGAGGAGAAGGCTTCTAAATAAGTGAAAGAGATCGCCGCGATTCCTTCTCGAACTCCTTCCCGAGAATCTGGCGCTAATTTCTGGGAAAATCGCCGCAGCTGCCAGCCCTCCTCGCGACGTGCAGAGAGACTTACTTTTTGAGAGGATATTCCAGTCTGGACTTGGAGAAACTGGGGCACTTTCGGGATTTTAGAAAACCATTTCAAATAATCGCTAAGATCTTTGCATGATTCATAAACGCCCAATAAGTTGTCATAATTTTTTCATGGAAAATTAAGTACAGTAAAATGAGGAAAATAGAAACACTTCAATCATGGCAAAAGAAAACCAATTCTCGGAATAAAAAAAAAACCAACAAAGCAATTAATTAAAATAAATCAAAGAAAATGAAATATATCTAAAACCATTCCTGCGTTATGTATCGATTTTACGGTGAAACTGCCCCAGTTTAACGTTTCGAAAACCGATTGATTTCAGAGAATTTAAATAAAATCTACCAGGCTCGCATTTCGAGATTCACGAGCTATCTAGAAATGGAGGAAGAATCGATTTCGCAAAAGTGTTAGATTAGAATAACCCCTTAACTCGCGAAGAAGCGAGGGCAAGGGATGGCGGGGGTGTAACCCAGACAGAGCGGAAGAAAAGCGGCGGTGGTATTCCGAAAAGTGTCACACATGTAGGGCGGCGAGATGCCGGCAGCGAAATACGCCGACTCCACGGCAACCCTTTTATTTTTTATTCGGTTTTTCCCCGGTTGCAGAATCTGGCCCGATCCGCACCGTTCATCCCCTTCCTCGCCGCCAACGCCAGCGCCGCCCCTGCCGTCCGCAATCTCCTCTCAAATAAATCAAACTTTTGAATCGCGCTCGAGCTCCCACTCCATCGACGAACCCGGCCACCGGCAGAAAACTTTGTAACCGGCCGCCATTGTCAAGAGTTTAAAAGCTGAATGGGGTTTTAGATTGTACATCGAGCGCTTTCGGTTTGTCATACTCCGTCCTCCGCCTTTTCTTCGAGCGAGTTTCGAATTCCTCGCGAATTCCCCCACCCATCGACCGTCGTCGCGCAATCTTTCGCCCACCGCGTACTTCTTCCTCGTCATCTTCGTATTTTTCCCTCGACTTTATTCCGTCCCCGTCGTCGTCGATCAAAGAATACATACGTATTGTAGTGTTAATAGAGCCTACCAGACGTAACGATTTTTCCTGCAGTAATTCGCACGAGTTGCATCGTTCGTAGTTTTCGATGAAAACTGCTCTTTCTTCATGTCCATAAACGATAGTGTCGGTAATTTTTAAATTCTGTGTCATCAATTGTGGACGCCAGGTCTGAAAGGGTTAATGCAGTGTAATCCCTGCATATACTGTCCTCTAATGGCTGTATGACGCTACTACTTATGGTTGCACAACCCTGCAGCTGTGTTGATAGACACCACGATGCTGTTACACGACCGTTGCCGCAATTGGACTGAATCGTTACGTCTATGGGCTCTATTAGACACGCAACGGGATATACGTTGGCGCTGAGAGGGAACATTTGTGAGACGGATCCTCGTAGGAGTCCTGTACATTAATCTCTTTCGTCGTCTCGCTCAGCCGGCACCGTCAGATCCTGAGCGCAGCTTTTTAGAGCGTGGGATGACAAATCGGTAATTTATTCTTCTGGCCTAGCGAAGCTCTATGTGTACTATTCAGGATACATCCCGGCCACTCAAACCACGGTAATAGAAGGAGGAATTTTCTGATAGATGACCCGTGATGTTTTCGAGATTGATACTCGAGTTCCCTTGTTATCTCGGGAGATTCGAGCAGATCGTCGTCCATGCATCAAGCGATTCAATAAGGCTGTGTGCTTTTTTTACCCTAATTCTATTCATGGAAAATGTGCAGATGTGTAGGTCATTTTCAGGATAGTTAACGTCTGATGTATTTCCATCGATGGATTAATTTATTGGCGCATCTTGCTAAAATCGTTAAGTTAGACACTGTCCTTCAATTGTCGCTTAGCTCTATTTAGAGATAGGTAACATTTCGGTCGAACAATAGACTTTGTATAATTATTTCATTAATGATGGAATCGAAAGTTTATTCGATCAACGCTGCAACTCTGGTTCCGTCTTCTTTGGAGTGCGCGCACAAATTCGTTAACTTTCTGTTCGTTTGCGCATGTTTTCTTTGTTATAACCGAACTAACATGAATATCACGTGTCGGGTGTAAACGATTTCACTTGCGATCGATAAGCAGAGCGTTAAACGGGTGACTCGAATATTATTATTATATAAAGCACGTGCTCAAGGATGTTTCTGCGTTGGCCGCAGCATTACTGGCTCGTGCGATTGCGTTGCTTGCTCTTGGAGATGGGCACAATTTTATTCGCATAAGTGATTAAACTGACATTTTTACTCAACCAGTAATTAATCAAAATTTATTCTTCTCTTATATTTGAATTGGATCTAGTCTTTACAAACTGTGTAACGTTCCTGGGTCAATGTTCAGCCCTTTAATAATTATTTAGAGTAATAATATGTATGTTTATTTAAAAACTTAAATTTACTTAAAATTGCGTAGGCGCCAAGGAGGACAATCGAGATTTGTATTAAATAAGAATTTTGTCCATCTCTGCTTGCTCTAGCGACGCATGCAACGCCCGTATCCGTGCTGGCGGTTTCTGTTGCTCCATTACGCGCAAAAGCTGTCTTGTAATCCGCTTATTCAGTATCTCCTTTTATCTGCTTCTTTCATGTTTACGTGTGTCACGATAATTTGTCCCCGACCGGGGAACTTTATTGTACCACTCTTTGTGTATGTTTCGTTGTGTAACACAGTGTCACGTGTTTATCGGTGTAACTCGCCCTCGTACATTTGGGTGTGATTTGTTCCACGGAGAAAAGGAAACGTAAATGATCGTTGAACACGAATTTTTTTTCTTCTACGTGTAAGTGAAAGCGTATATACACACACATGACCGCGCGATTCGTATCGCATCGAGATGTTCCTTGTGCTGCGGGATATACACATGTACAGAAGTGGTAGTACAGTGATGTTGATTGCGTGAGTTTTGTTGTTTAGATTGTGTAAGCGTGTTTTTGTGATAAAACGTAAATTAGACCCAATAAGTTCGCCGTTAAAGCAAACATAAGTAATAACGTAGAGGTGTATTAGTTACCATCGTTGTTTGCAACGGAGAAATCCAAACAGTTGTTACGCGAATGATTGTAAACAAGCAGATCGATAAGTTTGCCTTTTTAGCATGCCGTCAGCGTGTCTTCGTACGCGGATGTAAAATATGTAACATTTCACTAATCAAGACCGGGAATTAAGTGACAATCGGATGTTTCGCGTATAAATTTAAAAATTGTGCCCAACGGCTAGTTCGGTGCAATATTCGCCTACATGACTGGAATAATTGTACAGGATGTTTTAGAAGTGTGGGATAAATTGAAACATACAAATCGACCATGCTGATAGAAATTGAGAAATGTTCCACCATTTTGCGATCCAATGGCTCCGTTTTCGAGAGAGATAGAATGCTTTATACGATTGCATAGGGAATGTGTTTGAAACATCATTGCAACAGTAAATTAAATTCCACGGTGATGTATTCAAAGTATTGCAATCATTATAAAGTATTCAAAATGGCAGCCATGTTCTATCTTTTTAGATCAATGTAAATCAATGTTTTTAAATATTTTTTCTATTTAAATTTATATTTGTTATTTGCCAAAAATGAAACGGATATTAAAATGGAGTAAACACACTTTCAATTTCTATTGCTACGTAAAATGTCCATGTTTTGATTTATTCCTAACACACTTGTACAATTCAAAGCGATGAAGTGATTAGTGAAAAAGGCAGCAGTGATACGAAACTTAAACTCTGACTGTATCGTTACGTTGCAAGGATGTTCACAGATCGGTCTCATCGAGTTGTTCGAAACGCGTTTAATTGTTCCCCTAAACGAAAATCGACCTAGCTGAGTTTAATTGCGGTATATGATTAATTCTTACGGTTCCTCGTTCAATCAGCTTCGGAAGATGAATCAACGTTCCTTAGTTCAATAATCGAACGTTCACGCGATAGAACCCAAAGACTCCAGAATACACGTGTTTATCCCACGATTATGCTAGGTGTCCACTTGAGATTTCTACACACAATTGCGAAGAAAGACTATTAGGATTGTTTTTACTCTTTTCATACTAATTTTAGTCCAAGTTAACCCTAAAAATTAAATTACATTAGTAGGAGAGAAAAAAAATTCAGGCCTGAAAGGATTAAGGCTACTTAAGGTGTCGAGAGCCTATTATGAAAAGTCATCCACCCCTCAACGTCAGATGCAACCCGCGCATCGAGTTGTTCACGTCCATTTCGGAGTGAGATTCTCAAGTGAACGTCTAGCGTTAGTCGACGTGAAACACGTGAAACGAGATTAGTGAGACGAAAGCAGCAAGATTGGTTGGTCGATACCAAACGGTCGTGTCACGAGGAATGCTCTAAAAATTAAGGCGCGTTCGTTGCAGTGATGAACAACTACCAGGCCGCAGCGCAGGCCGGATTTCCGCCGGCGTCGCCTCACGCGGCCGGCGGCCACGGCGGGCCCCAGGGCCGGTCTTTTCCTGCGGCCAACTCGCCGGGCCCCATCGACATGTATAGTTCAAGCGCCGCAGCCGCAGCAGCAGCCGCAGCCGCGGACTCCGCAGTCGCCAGCTACGTCCAGGCCGCAGCTAGTCCGCAGCCCCCTACGACCGCGTTCCCTGCGATCGCCGTGTCCCGTGCCCCGCTCAACTACAGTCCCGTAAGTCCATTCTACGATCCCCCTCACCGGTAGTTCGCTTAGGTCTCCCACCACGCCAAATTTTGTCAAAGTCTGCGCAGGATTTGAAGTGTAACGAAATAAAAACGTCGAGAATAGATGACGTTAATGTGACAAATGATCATAATAATTGAGTCCTGCAGGCTGACAAAATTCGGTTCTATCTGAAGGCATCGAGTGAGCAGGCCCTGATCCCCCCTATCGACGTACCAAAGCCCCCGCGGCCAACAGTGTTATCGAACGCGATACTTGTAAATCTCACTTAACTCTCTTCCTGATATTACACCTAAATTTCATAATGTCAACGTTAACAATAAATAGTACTTCATCCATATTTGAAATATTCGTATCCAGTTACAATTGTTTAAAATTATTTCGTTTCCTTTGATCATCAGGAAAAGGACGAATTACGATATTTGTAGAGAGTCGAACATATCTATAATTGAATCACATGGTCAGCACTCGCAATTGGATCGATATTTTTGTTTATTTACGTCCGTTCTCGATAACGCTGTTACTCGGGGTAGCATTCTGTTGTAACCGCGTGTATGCAAAGTAATAAAAGGGAAATCTAATTCCTAAAGAGAAATGAAAATGATCGTTGTTCACCTAGGTCGCGAGAAATCTCTCTCGATTGATATTCCGTTTAACAAACTTTCATTTGCTTCCACGTGAGAGAAGAGTGAATAATTCTCACAGGACTTGTCCGTTCGCCGAGAGAGCACGACCGATCAAACTACTTTTTCCAAGTGTTCGAGTTTTTAAGAGCTAACCCGTACTAACAGCATCGAATTATTAAACTTGTGTGTGACAATTTTGCCCCCGTCCAATGTAATGAAACGTGCATCGGAATAAGACGAGGGAAAAAAAAGAAAAGTTGGAGAGATTCGAGAGTATGGTGCAAGTTTTTTTTCTTATTAGAGTTTGTAACTTATGTTGCTGCAGCTTAGATTGCAAAACAGCTCTGAACGCTGAGCTTCTCAGTTTGCCGATATTAAAACTTTTCTTTTTCACATTTTTCTCTTCGTTTTATATCTCCTTTTTAATACTTGCAACGAATTTTTATCATTACAATCGATGCAAACTTTTTAGGATTGAGTATCGCAATTGCACGTAGAACACTAAGAGTTATTGGAAGCTCACGAACAACGGTAGAGAAATTGGTCTACGAATTGCACGAGGACGTTAACGAAAACATCTGTCATTCTTGTTTTAGGGTCCTCTAATACCAGCGGCGTTCACTAATGGCTACCATTGAGCCTTGTTAAGACCTAATAACAGGTACGTAGTCACGTTTCCCCGCGATTCGTTGTCATATCTTTCGATTATTTCATGCCACGTGATTATTTAATGCCGAAAAGTTTCTCTGTTCGACGATATATCAACCGCTCGTCGTAGGACCCGTACGATATGGAATTTGAACCGTTGCAAAGTATACGTAGAGTAAATAGTTTATAAATAGTCCTTAATTGTAAGCACATCATCGCATATATAAGTATATATTGATCAGAAGCTACTTCAGTCGACAGCGATCGAAAGATTATAATGTCTTCTGTTGTTTTTCCGGATTTAGCGCATAATCTTATGAGTACGGTAATGGAAAATCTTAATTCTTTTGTAGCAAACGCAAACACGTTCACTATCAAATAATATAACAATAAACATAAGTGAAACAATTAGCAGTGGGTTGTTTCGCTTTAGCTATTTTCGAGAACAAACACCACATACAGATCTTTTCTTTCCTAACGTTGTAAGTTTCAATCTAGAACGTCATGCGAAATAACTATTGTTTACTTAATTACGATACCGAATGGCGAAGATGCTTTCGTGATACGGGTAATTAAACGTTCCCCCGATGGCTGAATTCGATAGCGAGTTTAACGGAAAGTGCCTCGTACCACGAAGGAGTCTTGCTTTTCACTTGTCGGTTCACTTTCAACCACTCCACACAATAACACACTGATACGCTTGCGCTGACTCGCAAAGATCGCGACTTTACGTTCGAACGAGATTGCGTAGCGTGTTGCTCCCGCGGTTTGCGTTGATCGATCATTAACGTGTGCACGATTTTCTTTTCGTCAGGATGGACGAGAGGGCAGAGCGCAGCACGGTCGACTGACGGTACAGTGAGCGATGTAAATGCCTTGGAAGAACTTATCACGATGAACGATCTCTGGACGGAAGAGGATGCGTACCACCACGAACACCAACCGGAAGAATCGCGATTTAGGTTTATAATATGCATGTAAAAGAGCGTGAAAGGTTTTCCAACTGCTACGAGCTTGCGAATGGGTGATCGATCACGAGCTCGACAAACAGCTCGGATCGATAGCAAAAATTACGCGATCTTCGTACGAGACGGCAGAAGAGCTAATAAATAAACAAAACAAAAAAAAAAGTAACAAAAAACGCATTAGGAAGAAAAGAGCGAAGGTGGAGCGACGTGAAAAAAATATACCAAGGAAGACAAGAAGGGAAGAATTGTTCATCCGATCCGTGTCCAGAGCGTATGCGAAGGAAATAATTAAAAAAAAGAAATAACGATATATAGCAGAGAATCAGGGGAAGTAAAGTGGGAGAGAGAAATGAAAAAATGCAAAAGATACACGATGGTGGGTGGATGGGTGGGTGGGGGAAGGGGGGCGTAAAAAAAAGAGGGCTAAAACCTGTGCCGCTAAAACCTGTGGCCGAAACTGCGTTATTTGATGCCCATTCTCCGACATTAATAAAGAATAATATAATAATAATAATGAATTAAATTAATATTATTAATTACTAAACGATTAAGCGACTAAGTCTAGAGTATATAAATACTATATATATAAATATATAAATATATATATAAATATATATATATATTATATATAAATAATTGATAAATATTAGACTAAAACGTATGATCCTTAGTGTTTAAGGGCAATGAAACGACGAAGACAGGAGGGACAGAGAGAGAGAGAGAGAGAAAGAGAGAGAGAGAAAGAGAGAGAGAGAACGAGAGAGAGAGAGAGAGAGAGAGAGAGGTGGGGGGGGTGGTGAAAGAAAACGGGAAAAAAGATATGAAAAGAACACAAGAAAATACCAACTTACATACGAATATTATTAATTAATTACTGGTTATTATGTATAACAATTATGACGTTTACAATGATTAACAAAGCAGAAAAAAAAAATGAAGGATGAAAGCCGCGGGCGCGCAAACTCGCGCGCAATATACATATATATAAATATAAATATAAATATAAATATAAATATGAATATAAATATAAATAAAACAAAAAAATATATAATTATTATTAAAAAAAAAAAAATATACACACACACGCGTACACGTTCGCACCCGGGAAGAGAGCGTTTCCCTTCCGGGGGCTTTCGTGGGGGATTTCGGGGGTTGCGTTACCAGACGCGCAGGGATGAAAAAAGAAATGGAGAGCGTTGGAAAGAAATTTCTCGAGGACGGCCAGAGAGGGCGAAACGACGCCGCGGAAAAGAGAGAAACCCGAAGGGCTGGATGCAGGAGGGGGCAGGAGGGGGGAGGGGGATTAGGTGGAGGACGACGAAGGGCGACCAGGCAGCCCCCGGTGCGGCTTCGCCCTTTTTCTTTGTTTCTCGCGAAACGCGCGTGTCCGCCACTTCTCGACGTGCTCTTTGCCGACTGAATCTCGGGAATGGTACTTCTCTCGCCCCGGCGTCGTCGAACCACTCTTCCCTTTTTCCCGGGTGTGCAACGAGGGAGGAATAAAAAAAAAAAAAAAAGAAATGAGAGAGAATGAGGGAGAGCGAGGAACGACGGAAAAGAAAAGAATAAAGCACGGAATAAGGAGGCGCAGAGCTGGTGAGAAAGTTACGTACACGCATAGGCACGCGCGTTTACACGAACGATGTGACGCCGTTAGGATTAACATTTTTCGTCGTTCGCGAGGGGCAAGGTTTTGGGGCGGAAACGCGAGGGCCGACGGAACCAACGACATCCGACCGATTCGGTTTCGCGCCGGCTACAGTAGTTAGACAAACGGGAGAGATAGAGAGAGAAAGTATCGAACGCGTGCGTGAGTGAGAGAATGCTCGACTTTTTGAGTAGACACACGCGTCCATCGACGAGAGAAAATGGAATTGGGGGGGGGGAGGGGGGACGACGACGTTGGTACTCGCGGGGTCGCATGATGGCGGCTGAATCGTTGGAGGGAACGCTGGTGGGCCCCGAGCGTTTTGTATCGTCGAAAATCTGGCCTCATTCAATGCCGAAATGATGTCCGTTGAATTCAATCGGCTGTTGTATAGCTATCCAATCGATTTACTTGCATTCACCTCCGTACATACATACTACATATTACCCGTACGCGAATTATTGTATCATTGATTTGCCATAATGGCGTATATGCATGATCCTATAGAGGAGCCAACGGGAGACATAAGCAACGTTCACCCGACACATATGTCACACACTGTAAACATGTATACGATAACTGCACATATACATACACACACACGGACACGTGCAATCCGCGCACTCACACGTGGCGCATACTAAACGTACACGCGGTTTAACGCGAACACACACGTCACACCCGAAGGAACCCATACGCAACTCCATAAAGTTACGCGACACAAGATTGCATTAAAGGGAAAAAAAAAATATATATATATATATACACACACATGTATGCAGTTATTATACCGTTCGTCCGCAGTGTACAGAACGTTAGTTGACGGCGAAATCCCGAATCGCCAATTTAACGCGCTAGCGCGCGAATACGAGAACCGGAGGCCTGGTCGGCACCGCGTGCATTTTTTATGGTGCTAAGCGTTTCATTCGACTGCGTTTACCCATGGCGTGTCAAGCTCGTAAAAAGTACGAATTAGTTAGAAATAACACCGGTGCACGAGGCGTTATATATTCTGTATTTTCTTGAAGATGCAAGTGAACGTGAAGTATTTTACCTGTTTATTTAGCGTGTTATTCGGTCTTGTGAAAATTCATCGTTGAGAGAAGCGATTACGGTAGTTGTCGGTTTTTTTTTTTTTTTTAGTTAACGAGTGTCTGCAGGGCCAGAGCGTCTTCTGTATTCTTCGAATGTATTGTAGTCATTTTATCTTATGAAGGCTAACCATATCTTTTTTCCCCATAGACTGTCAGCTGGATGCGACGTCGTTTATACAGATCGATCGACGCGAATTAAGCGCTTAGGGTGCATATTAAATGCACGGTGTGAACTAGGTCAGACGACGATAGGAGGACGCGAAAAGGACGATACTCCGACGAAAAGCGAGACTGTGCATCTATTCTCTGGATGTGTGAGAGAACGAGAGGGAGAGAAAATGACGGTACGTGTGCGCGAGAGAGTTGTTAAACTATAGGATTATACGAACACCCGGTCATCTAAAATGCCATCGCGATTCGATGTAAAACATAAAGCGAGCTAGCCAAGGAAAGACGCAAACGTGAGAGTATCAGAATAATTATGTACGGTAGCCTTAATCGAGGAACGACTGGACATCGAATCTTGGATTCGTTCGCGCTTCGAGCATATTCGCTGATTGGAGAGGCAAAGAACGAGGGGTTTATGCGGATGCTTCATTCGAATATATTCGCGATCGGATTAGGTTAATTGCGCTCGGGAAGCAGGAAGGTGTACAAAGATGGTGGAATGTTTCCTTCCTTTTGGTGCACACGGTATTACTCGGATCTCGAAGGCGACTGCTGAGTTTTTCTGTACTCGATCACTTCGGTGATTTAAATCTTGATACTCGAATACTTGAGTATTCGAATGTTTTGTACACTGATCATAGGTATGAATCAAGTTCTTTAAGTTCGCCAACCTTATTTTAATTTTGTTTAAGGATGACTCTTTTAGTGGAAGAAATAGAAAGAATATTCAACAATTTTACGCAAAATAATTTCTTATTTATGAATCGTATAAACGAAGATTCTCATTTTCCCACAAATATCGTACACAAGAATACTCTTATCACGAACCACCGCAACAAGTATTATGTAATTCGTGTAGCAATATTTCAATACCCAAGTATTCGAAGTTTATTCATACTATTGGAGCCTCCCTACTTCCGGTGCAGAGAGACCGTCGTACATAGCTCGTTCTGCGGACTGATTCGCGTAATTCTGTTGGTATCGCTGGATCCCTAAAAGCTGTTTCTCACGGACCTTATCATTGATTACGAATTATTGAATTCCTGCGAGGCGTGAGTCGACGAACGATTATAATTATAATTACCGAAGACGACGGATACACGTGCGACAATTATAGCGCGGTCATTATTGTATTCAACAACAGGGTAAACTAACAAACAAACAAACAAAAAAAAAAACAAAAAAAAATGAAAAAAAAGAAAAATGAAAAAGCAAAAAGAGCGACGAACTTCAAATTGGGACGCGTGTCACGTCGAACGGCGGCCATTTTGTTTTTCTGTGCGCGGGTGTGCGTGCGCGCGATGAGAAAACCGTAAACGGAGAAAAAAAATAAAAAGTTAAATAAATAAATAAACGTATAGTAAAAAAAAAGTAAAATAATCGAACGAGTCAATTGTTGCGAACGTTAGCAATACTTCGTCAAGACCACAAATGATAAAAAATGGCAAATAATAAGTTATAACGTGAAAAAGATGAGAAAAAGAAACGAGAAAGAAAATAATAATGTACACGACTAAACTTATATCGCGGATACTAATATTCTTAAGATGGCGACGCGTACGCGCGTGACGGGTGATCCCGCTCGTCCTCGAAAAGTTGATGATGACTCCCTCCCCTCCCGCCCCCCCCCCCTCAGACTGAAAGAGAAAGAACCATGGAACGAACCCCGATCGTGTACGTCATTGGCAGAGATGGGCAAAATTCGTATTCCTTTATTATTCTTCTGATATTTTTTTTTTTAATTTCTACTTCTCCTGTATTTTTGATCTCTCGACTTTACATTTTGCTAGGTGCCTTACTTTATTTTATTTTTCTATCCTATTGACGCTCTTATTATTGTATATATACATTTTTGTCTTCTATTTTTCTTAAATCTGTATTAATTACACTCTTTCTTTCGCTCAATTAAAATATCTTACGTAGACATTCATGATTCAATACTTAAATGAATATTTGTTAGTTCACCGTAAAACACAACATCAGTCGAAAAGTAAAACGTTATTCGAGACTTTGATCCAAAATTCTGGCCATTCTCAGTCACCGAGTACAACGATGGCAATTTCTTGCAAGCGAAACAAAATGGTAGCTGCTTCGTTACGCACCCAGAGCTAACGCAATCGATGCGTTGGAAAAAAAACAAAAATGGAGTGTACGTTTCTGATCAAACGTGGTATCCAGGGAAAACAATTCGAGCGAAAAGAGGAGGGAGATGAAAGATCGGGACAACATCGACGGACCATACATTGGCCAGAGAGATACCGCATGAGCGAATACGAGAAACGAAGAGCTTTTCATTGGCGATGCCTGGTTCAGAATTTTGTTTACGTTTCCATTTTGCCATTCGTTTCCCGAATCGCATAGGAACGCCTTTTGTTACTTTCTTTTTTTGTCGTTACGTTCGTTCGATCCACAGAGAAATGAGCGAGTTAAACTCTTTGCAGCACGAGAGTTTGAATTGTTTCTGCTCCGACCAGTCGGAGCAATGACTCCAGCCACTTGAAGCAGCGATTGGAGTCAGTGCTCATCAAGCGCACGTGTGGCGTAAATTGTTGAGTCATTGCACGTAAAGCAAATGTGTAGGGTAAACCGCCGAGTCACCGCTCGCCAAGTACATGCGTGGAGTGAATTAATGGATGCCAGTTATCACCGATGATAATCACAGTTCGTGAATGGGGGGGGGGGGGGGAGTTTCTAAGCGATCGCTCGAGCTAGTCACCGGCGCTGCAAGGAGTTAAACAAGCGTTAAACAGCCGTGTCGGGCGCTTCTTGTATCGCAAAATCGCGCTAATCGTTCCAATAGACGGGGAGATGGACTTCACAAAAGATTAAATGAAACACACACACACACACACGAGAAACATGACACTACGGTTCAAAGAACGTGAAATGTAATGGGATCGGTCGTTTACGCGATGGATCGCTGCGGAAAGGCGAGACAAAAGACGCGGGAGACACACACGTATACACATGCATACATAGACGTAGAGACAAGGAGAAGGCAGTCATAATTAAGTGTACAAGTTGTAACTTTTCGCAGTTAGGATGAAAGGCGTGCTCGAAAGGATTCTGGGTTCCTTGCTAATTAAACTGTGAACCCAGTCGTCTGGATTCCTCCCTATTCGATTGATTGAAAATGACATTTTTTAGAAGTCCTATGATATTATAAGGATTTGTTATAGTTTCTTTTGACACTTTCAAAAGATACACGTGTTATTTTTTTTTTAATTTTATTATAACAGATGGAAGCAGGTTTGAACCCAGACGACTTTCACCGAGGATCCTCGGAAAGAGAATTATTATATATAAATGATATAAATATATACATATTCGAAAGAGATCTACGATTAATTAGAACAAACAAACTGAAGAGAATGCGATCGACATACAGGCGAGTTAATCGCGATGGTGGGGGGAGAGAGAAAAGAAAATGAAGAGGTGAAGCCTGGGGAGGACACAAGTATAGGGAAATGAGAACAAAAGCAAACGGAATATATGTGAGTGCAGTCCACGCGTTTATATTTATAAATATGAAATACATTAATATTGAAATATTACGTCTATATCTACATCTAGTATATATATAAATATATATAAATATAAATATATATATATAAATATAAATATACATAATGAACGGATTGAGGAAGGCAAGAAACTATATTATGTCTATATAATTAAACGATTAAGGCGGCAAACAGACAAACAAAAACAAAAATATGAGGATTACGGAGATTAACAGATATATTGAGCCATTGTTTTATTGCATTTGTATATAATATATAGTTATTGATGTTTTAAAGTGCTAATTATACTATTGTATTGAACATTTTTCGATCGTCACCGATCGTGTAAAGGAGGGCCGAGCGGGGGTGAGACAGGGGTTGATAGAGGATACAGAGCGAGGCTCGGGAAAGTTGAAACGAACGCGAATGGGAATGATACGCTACCCTGGCGAGCTCGTTGTGCGACATTGCAGTCCAAGTCTCATATTTTACGACGTTTCTTTTTTCTGTTTTTTTTTTTTTTTTTCATTTAACCGGGGACAATTTTTCGCGAAAGAAACCGAATCGATGGCGGCTGAATTGGTGCGAAGAAAGTAAAGTTCGAAGACGTAGCTCGCCGATCGGCCGAGCTCGATCACTCGTCGCGCAAATTACACACACCCTCACACCGAATGCATGTACACGTATGTGAACACACGGATACCAAGACACGCGCATACACACGTATTTATATAAATATAAATATACACGCGTATAAGTGATAAGTAATAATTATGATAATCGAAGAAAGAAATATATATAAACAGCGAGAAGAGAGAGAAGTGATGATCACAATGTAAAGAGAGTGCGAGGGAAGATGTTGATTAATTAATTAATTCGATTATTGTCGTTCGTTGGTTGAACGGTGAAGTGAAGACAGAAAAGAATCGGAACCACACGACTAAAACAGATTTACAAGTAGTAGATGCGAGTTTTGGTACACGAGCAGACGGCCAATTACACGTATCTGGATACGTACGAAACAATGCAGTGAAATAGCAGCTACTGGAATGGTAACTTAGTCTTAATCGTCGCTTGAGCGCGAGTAGCGGTTGTAATTAACGTTTTTCTTGTTCTTGTTACCATTACTATTAACGTCATCGTGGCGAACACGGTTTTAAGGGAATGGGTAACGCAACACGTGTATTTCATTCGTTTTGGATCCAACCCTTTTTCTCGCACAGTTGAGGAAACTTCAGTTCGTCGTTCCTATTTTATTCTGATCGACAGCTGTGGTCGTGAATGATTTCGACCATCTCACGAAAACCAAGTTGGGGTGTCGTGATGTCGTTCGATCGTACATTTTCTAGAGAATAAAGGAATATCGACTAATATTATAACGAAAAGCCTCACTAAATGAACGAACGATATAATCAAGTACATCTAAATGATTGTACGCGTTAAATTATGTGCATCATCTTAACACGGTCTATGCTTGCATCAAAATTCTATAGAAGATCATCATTCTGACGTAATCGATTACGTTCTCTATCAATAATAAAAAAAAAAAAAACAATTCCTCTTTTGGGACAGAGACGAATAAACTCAAACGATTCAAGTTACGTTTAATTCTATTTCCTTCCAGACGATAGCCCTCTGAATTTTACATTATTTTTTACAAAATTATAAAATTGAATTATGGTTTATGTATACGTGTAATATTCGATTAATAACCTACTTGATTGATAAGCAACTGAACCTACAGGGTTACCAGATATCTCCCCTCTCGAATCTTTTCAATATTTCTTCCCCAAACTATCCAGGCGTTCCCCATTCGCATAATGCAATAGAGGGATAGAACTTCTCGACCACGCGACTTTCCCTGCGACATAACGAGAACACTACTTCTCCAGAGAAATTTACGCGCGCACACACCGGCACGTGCATGCAAACACGATCAAACTCGTCCGAGTGAACCAAACGTGGTTAAATAAAACTAACTCGTGTTCGAGTAGCCAGCGAGCATTAATTGTCATTCAAACATATTCGGCCATATTGAGGACTCATGGAAATCGAAAATTTAATTTACTTAATTTGTCGATGAGAGAACAAACGGAGTGAGAGGTAAAAAATCAATTATTAGGCTTCACTTTGTTTCACGGATTCGTCGATATCGATCCTTCGATCACTTTCTGCGCACCCTCTGTTTCTTGGCTGCTGATATGTTTCCTAGAACGATTAGTATAGCGTACTCCATCGCTGCGCGACGCGAATCCGCGCTGTTTTCGTTTTGGTTTCCTCAAACCGACACAGCTGACGGGACAGGAGTTACGTGCGTTCGTCGTACGAACGACGCGATGTCGCAACGTTCGAATAAAAACAACCCCCGTCGCTCTACGCGCGATGTGAATGAGTCGAGTAAGAGAGAAAGAGAGAACGTCTGCGTGAGACAGAGTGTGTGGAACGAACTCGCAAAAGTCCGTAGATAGATAGACAATTTTCGAAACGTCGTTTTCGTGCGTACGAGACAAAAAAAAAACCATCACCGAATCTTGCTGCGACCAGACACCCACGCCTTGGGCGTCTCTCTCCTCGCCGGATGGCTGAAATTTGTCTTTAACTTCCGGCTTCTGGTGTTCTCTTTGCCTCTACGGACCGAAGAGACAGGGGAAAGCGGTCCAACGAGATCACGATCCAATCGATGGAATTTCAAGTCAGTTGTAATATAATCGATCGATCCGGGATCGTGGCTCTCGACGCAGAAATGGGCAAAATTATTGGGATGGAGGTTTCGAGTAAGGAACGAAAGATGTTTCCTCGTTACTCGTTGAATAAAAAGTCGAATTGGTATCGTAGAATGAAAAATATTTCACAGTGGACGATTAAAGATTCGTTCCATCGAATAAATCATCATAGGTTGGTTTTATTCGTCGTTTGTTCGGATAATATTTTGCCCATTTCTGGCTTGACGGCGTTTAAGTGAATCGTCGCAGCCAAGATGTAGGGTAAGGGATCCTACATAAGAGTTACTTTTACTCGTGCGTCAAGGGAACATGTGGGCTTTACGAAGAGCTCACGCGTTTATCATTATTATTATTATTATTATTATTAATATTATTATTATTGATATTATTATTTTTGTTTTTCTTTTCTGTTGACTTATGTATTGTAAGAATTATTATTGCTATTGATCATTATTACGACTAATGTTATTATTGGATGGTATTGCCACAATACGTCCGCTATCGTTTGCTATCTGTCAGAAAACGCAATAATCGCTGTGTTACGAATACGATTGTCCGTTGTATTCGAGGTGACTTCGTTTTTTCAAGTTTTTACCGTGAACGCGGCTCCAAGGAAATCGCACGGCTCGTTTTGCGTGACCAAAACGAGATTAATCCGTGTAACTTCCGCGTGCCAACGCTCCAAAACGGTGATCGAAAAGGAAACAAACGATTATATGTAGAAAAAGTGTTCCCCTCGGATCGGTAGGGGAATCTGTTCAACCTTTTCACTGCTGAATCGATCAGTGGTAGAAAACGTTTTGTCGTATTAATTTCACACTTTACTCTGTAACAATTCTATTTATAGATATATGTAAAAATTGAGCAAACGAGTAAAAAGATGTTAAAAGATTGTCCACGAAAGTCGAAACGTTTATATACCTGGTGTTCTCTTTAATTTTAGCGTTTAGATTAATCTACTCGAAGGCAGCAGTTAAAGGGTTGACATAAGCATCGATGGACCGAACGCTCGTCGCTCGTTACCAATTTTAGCTAATTAAAAAAAAAAGTCCAAACCAACGGCGAACCGAGCGATTCGTTGGGGCCACGGGCCGAACGCAATGTAAGCGTAACCTTCATACGATATGTATGTATATAATATATTATATATGCAAGCGCAAAGCATAATTATTACGATAAATATATTAATCATGTAATTACACGTGCACACGTTCGGATGCGCAGTTATTTACATGTAATCTGTTAATATTCTTCCTGCGTGCAACAAGGACAACAGCCACGAGCTTCGATGAAGTTTTGCTAACCGTCGTACGGCGACCGCATACGAGTTTTGATTCAATACTCTCGCTGTTATCGAAATTAGTTTCATCTAGGCGCCCGTCGGAACGTTCGCGCGATTGTCCTGCGCTCGATTCGCTGGAAACGGTGAATACTGGAACCCATTCAATGCGCCAGCATCGATGGTCCGATTCGCGCGTTGATACTTCACTAGTCAAAGCGTGAAAATTTCGATAATTATTTCTCCCGTTGATAAAGGACTGCGAAACGAGCATCGAAGAACGTTCTCAGCCGTTATTTCACACTTTTCCGTGCTCTCGAACCGATTGGTCGAACGCTTTCGTGACCCTCGATGAATCTTCAACCCCTTTCACTCCTAACATTCGTTTTACTACCAAGATCATACGCATATTATACATGTGACTGTATTATTGTATTGGGTTGATTCATTGGTTTGTTCACTTACGATTCATTTTCAAATATATTATTATATAATAAATCTTAATCGATTATATAATCACCATCGTCGATTATCACTTGTTCCTATTCAGCAGGCAAATTAAAAATGAATACCTACAAGAGGTTCCTCTGAGAGCATGATTATTCGTTACCTGCAGCGGGACATATTTATGAATCAACCCAATAATTAGAGGAAGGAAGAGCAAGTTAATTTGTTACTTAAAATAATCCTATGTTACCATAGTAATCCCTTAAACGCATTCACGTGTCAGTGGAAAGTGGACGTGCGAATCCAATTAGCCATAAACAAAACGTAGAAGGGAGTGCAAGGGGTTAACAATCTCTTATCGTCGTTTTGCGTTCCTCTTATACCCGCAGTACGCGACTCGGTTGCACGCTATTCAGTCGCACGACGTCTACACTCTTCGCCTATCGTGACTTTCTTCGTTTACGCTATTATATCATCGCTCCAGTTTTGCGGTAAATGTTCGGTACCCATTCGTGCAACCCGCGAAGGGAAACGCGATAGCAGCCATTACGCAACGTTTCTTCCTAGGATACTCTTCCCCATCGTGACTGTGTTCGAATCGGTCAAAACCGAGTTGTTACACTTCAAAACGTTCGTTTCGCTCGCTCCCAGACAGAAATGGGCAAAATTTTAGTCGAAGAATATAAAAAATATTTATTCAATCGAATAGTTAATCAAATAAAATTGTCCTCGATGTGAAATACAATTTCGTTATACAATACACGACTTTAATTTTTATTAAAAACGGTCGAAAGTTGTTTACCTTGAATTTGTTGAATATTATTCGAGATATTTTATCTACATAACAATTTCGCCCATTTCTGCTTCCAGATCGGAGATACGAATCGATACATAAGAGCAAAATCGCGTATCTTCGGGAAACCCCGTAGCAGTCGTGGTCGCTGAACAAAAAACGAAACGTATTTTTGTTCGCGTTACTCGTTCATTCACCTATTTCACGTATCAAAAACAGATCTTATTGGGATCCGCAAATTTGTTTCGTAGCTTAACGCTGTACCCGTCACTGATACACCGTTCGATTCTTTTTGTCGCGATATCCTCCGGCGTTTTTTTTTTCTAATTTTTTTTTTATTTTTCTTCTATCGAGCATTTAGCGACGACGTTATTACGATATCGTGAATTGTGCCATTTACTCCCCCGTTGTTTTCTCTTCTTTCTTTTCATTTGAAATTTCATTTTACCTCCGCGGCACGAAACAAACAGTCACGTTAAAACGTACACGCGAACATACCTGAATTACACGAGCACAATTTCATTCTCCTCTTCTGCAAGGTAAACGGTGTAAAGAAGAAATAAACATAAATAAGAACAAAAAAAAAAAAAGAAAAGAAACAAAAGAATAAAAAGTTCTCGCGGAACTTGTAATACGAAATTATGAGAGAAGAACAAGAAGTCTGAGAAGCAATTTTAAATCGATTCGAAATTTTTAAGGGGAAGGGGGGAGGGGGAGGGGAGGAAACCTCATCGTGATCGTTGTGTGTATGTGTGAGAGACAAAATATATAGTTAACGAATTTCGAGCACTCGCTTCTCCCGATTCGTCGTCTTTACCTTTGTGATATATTTTTCTTTCGTTCGCGGAAACAAACGATGAACACACACGCAATTCACATACAGAAATACACACCACAGACGCATACCCCCGAATGTTTCGTGTACACGGCATGTTATGAATTCCGGGAGCTTGTGAATTCTCTCGTCGTTTCGCGATCGTCGCGCTAGGGAACTATAATAGTCGCGATTCTGTTGCAACACGCGGCACGGAACGAGAAACTTTTTAAAAATATTTTTTACGAACGCCTCGCGATGAGACGAGCAACAAAAAAAGAAGGCGGAATAGCATGAGAGATGATGAAAAAAAAAAAATAAACAATTAAAAAAAAAAACGGAAGCTCGGCGGCATGGTACAGCTTGCGATGAGGAAACTTGCAATATAACAAGCAATAAATAAGCCACTTTTAATTCCATGTATATTAAACAATTATGTGGATGCTTAATGAGATTTATTGAATTAAACGAGCAAAACCAACAACTAAGACGAAATACCGATTTTACATATTCTTACTAATCGTAAACGATTACAATACGTATAGTACGGCATAACTAAACAGAAAAAAAAAAAATTATACGATTATGTATCGATTTAAAAAGAGCAGATAAAGAAAAAAAATGGTAAATAAATAATAATTAAAGAAACGTGCGCCGACGGGCGACCGTTCGGCGGACGGGTAATCTAATCTACATAAGTAGGTAAAGGTTTCAATTTTACACTACCGATAATAACGACATAACGGTAAGGCTCTATATAAGATATAATGATAATTTATAATAATTATAATGTTGTACAGAATATTTATGAAAGGCGCGCTGCTGGCGAAAGAGCCGCGCGTTTCCTCTGTGTTCGTTGGTCGCGTACCGTGACGATAAAAGACATGAAAGGGGAAAGGCGTTGATGAAATGGGGATGAAAACGACAAAATAACAAATAGAGAAACGAGAATAACGTTTGCCTTTCGCGTAATCAATAAATCGTTGGAATTATTCGTGAATCAAGGATCGAAAATTTCCAGACATTTACTAGTGTGCGTGAAACGCGCGACTCTCTATCCAAAAGCGGCCAGACTATAATGGATGTTTTGTAAGATAAAGCAAAACGATCACGGATTATATTGAGATCGTGTTCAGAGAAGTGTATAGTCGAATTAACTCGACGACGCCTTTCTCGGTGGAAGAAATATAACAAAAACAACAAAAACACGAATGACGAGAAACGAGAAATGCGTACCGCGGATCATTTCTTCCGCGAATATTTGAGCGTTCGCGGCGTTGTGGTGGGCGAATTACGGCTCCCCGAGATTGAACGGGGGTGGAGATTAAAAAGATAAAAAAAAAAAGTGAAGCAAAAAATAGAAACAAAAGATAGAAAATGAGAGAATTTATCCGCCGCGGGTGTGGCGTAAGAAAAGGCCCATAATCTAATTCATTGTGTATGTATACAGACAAAAGTAAATATAATATTGCGATTATAAATATTAAACTAATAAAGAATAACAATATTGTATCCCTCTGTACATATAAATATATATTACAATACGACGATTATTACTATATGATTTATTATAAATATATATACATAAATATAAATATATCTCATAAATTCACATTATTATGTTTATTATTGTTTACTTATTATTATTAAAATTATTATCATTGCGATGATAACGAGGATGATGATGATTATTATTATTATTATGATAATATTATTAATATTTAAGAAAAGGTTCACAACGTGCCGTGTGTATGTGGGAATAAAATATATAATATAATGGACATTGTTCAATTCAATCTAACGTCTTTGTTGTTTTTCTCTTCCCTGATCCCTGCTACCGCAAACGCAACTTTTAAATAAGATTCTCTTATTTCTCAGTTCAACACGAACTAGACAGTTCATGATATTTCCCTAAAATAATTGATTTTCTTTTTCCATTAACGTAAGAGTTATATCTAAATGCGCCAAATTATAGATCAATTAATTATACATTTATCGCAATTTGTTTGCATCGAGGAAAATCAGCAAAAACTAAAATAATTTCATAATACTACTTTCTAGAAAACTATAAAGCGAGGCTCTTCGCATTTATCGCATTCATACTTGCCGGTTAGAACGAGAACGAGACATCGATTAGTCGATTACGCCAGTATGGCGTCGACCATGAGTAGCTGTCATGCATTCTGTTATCACTATTTTGAGTGCACCTGTCAAATGTGACATGAGTTTTCATTTAAACATCACACGTCAACTCGATCGTTAACATAATTCACCGTTCACAACAAAATGGGTATTTTCTTTGCGAAGAAAAAACCTGCGAGTCGCGTAACCGAACATGATAAAGCTGTTTTGGTAAGTCCTTTCCCAATTTTCTAACCTCTCTAACCTCATCGTTTTCTCGTTCATTAAATTACCGTGTTTTTTACAGCAATTAAAACATTCTAGAGATAAGATTAAACAGTATCAACGAAAAATTGAACAAACACTTGAAAAGGAACGATTACTTGCCAAGAAACTAATACAAAATGGACAAAAAGAGTAAGTATTAAATTTTAATGTGTCTGTATTTCGATTTAATGAGTTGTTGTACATATTTTGAAGTATTTTAAACATTTTTCAGTCGAGCTTTACTTCTGTTACGGAAAAAGAAGTTCCAAGAGCAACTGCTGTCAAAGACAGATGGACAGCTTGAAAATCTTGAGCGCATGGTTCATGACTTAGAGTTTGCACAAGTAGAATTAAAGGTTATTGATGGCTTAAAAGTAGGCAATACCGCATTGAAGAAGTTACATGATTTATTGTCAATTGATGAGATCGAAAAAGTTATGGAAGAAACTAACGAAGGCATAGAAAAACAGAGAGAAATAAATGAAGTATTGTTAGGAGCGCTTACACAAGAAGATGAGAGCGAAGTTGAAGCAGAACTTGATGTACTTTTGGATGCTGAAATTAAAGAGAAAGCACCAGAAGTTCCAAAGGATGTGCAAGAAATACCAGAAGATGTAACATTGCCAGATGTACCAGAAGAATTACCAGAAAAGAAAAAAGGTGAGGTGTTTCTATGGTTATATAATATTTGCTTTGTGTTACAGAATACATATTCAATTGGTTTTGATTTTGTGTTTCAGAACGTACAAAAGAAAATGCGCCAGAGGCTATCGCTCTAGAAGCATGAAATATTAAGTATCATTATTTAAATGTTTATTCTATTGGCACTTTGCGCAAAGGTCTATGTATATATGTACAGTACCTTGTATGTAAGGCTGAGCATGAAATTTAATTCACGCTCGGAGATTCGTAGAATCTAATTGAAAGAATCGAAGTTACTTTTGTTAGCATAATGTCTGTTAAAGACTGTTTTCCATTATACAGTGTGCATACGTCATTTCAGTGTAGTGAGGAAAGATTTCAAAACAGTGGGTATATGATCCAGGCAATTGTACATTATCTCACATATTATATGCTGTGTACGTTTTACAATGTTAATTATATTTGTACTACCTTCTATGTACAAATACATTTTCATCTCATTGGCCTCTCTTATATATGGGTATACAAAAAGTGCAAAAGGTTCAAACATTTTAATAAATACGATTTTCTTTACAAAGTGTCTTCTGAGTCAATAAGAATTTAATCATTCTACAATAAATTATTCAAAATTCAAAAATATGTTATTTGAATTTTTCCTACAATAAAATTTGCATAGCATCTTTCGTTCATTCTCGATCCCTGATAAAGAATACACGATAATAGAAGGTCACACGTGACAAGTTAGCGTAAATTATTCAGAGTCCGATAAGATAAATCGCTTCTGATGCACGCCAACATACGTTATTGCCTACGAATTATTTTGCGCATCCTAACCTTTTTTGCATTCATGCTCTTACTTCATTACGGTTTCGTAAACAACGAAGATAATAGAATACAAGTGTATTTCTGTGATTATCATTTTGATTTATCTAGAAAAGTTATTCCTCAATCGTTGATGGTTGTATAACTCAACATTGTTTTTTTTTTTTTTTTTTTTTATGGAAAGTGAAATAGGAAAGAATAAATTCTATTTAGCTGTACTTACCTAAGTTTGCAGAAAGGAGATCGTGAGACGCTCCGAGCAATTGTGTTATACAACGTCATAATTTCATACAACTTGACCTGTGCTTCACTGTAATCTACATAATTAGACAAACACTTCGCAGCGGTGCTTATTAGACGCCATGCACGATGTGACGGACTACGTAATTCGTTCAAAAATTTCGTGTGTCATTCGTATACTTCCATTGGCGCCAATAACGTGGTACCGCTCACAAATTGTTACGCCCTTCCCTCTTCCCCGATTTTGTAATTTTGCAGCTTGATAGAGTGACTAAAAGTAATGGATACGAGTTACTTTCAGCGGTGGTAACTCTGGTTTGACGTCACAGCGTATCGTGATCTACATGTAATTAGCTCTCATAAATCAATTGAATCCGTTAAGCTGGATATGCAGAGTACGATAGCTAGATCTTTTTGTTTTTCTACTCCTTTTCGGATTATTATATGCTTTTAAATTCGTTGGTCTTCAAGTATATCGATAGTATTTAGAGTGAAAGAATTAATGTAGAATTAGGTGTATCTACTTATACTGTAAAATTATAGTATTTCAAATTATATACGTACATTGTTTTTTAACGTCTTGAGTATTGAGTTACTTATTAGGAAAGCAAAATTAAACATAATTCGTGGTCAGAGTTGGTAAATATTAACTAAAGTCCCATTAGGTATTAACTATTTAAGTGATTAAGATAGCTGTACACAAAGAACAGAATGAAGAATGTTGACTCTTTCTTCATAAGCAATTAAAGAATATTTTTTATTCAGTGATTGATGATGATGGCTCTGTAAAATCAAAGTAAATCATATTTTGCCTGTCTCGCTCCAAAGACCAAGAAGTGTTTTTTCGCTTCTAATCACATCGACATATGTTAGATTAACCGAGCAAAATAGTACGATAGTTTTGACCTTTCTGTCATGTCATCCTGTATAAATGAACCGATGACCGAGTTTGAAGTTTAAGGCGTTCTAAAACCATCACGACCTTCGCTGCTCTCCGTTCGAGCTCATTTTACCCATGTCGCGGCTTCATTGTCGCTCTACCCTGGTTGACAAGCATGAATTTTTTAGTAAACGCGTGCTCCAAGTTTCGATTTCTAGATTTACTTATACGGAATTGAAGCAATCGAGTCTCCAACTCTTTGCACTTATAGGCCGCATGAATATCTTATGAAGGCGCGTGTGAACCGCAACGGAACGTTCAGCAAATTACGCGTCGTACTCGTTGAATACCGTAAACGTTTATTTCACGAGCGGTTAAATACGATCGCATCCGAAGTTATGCAATTTAGAAGCAATTTGTCGCCTTTGTCAGCGGGAGGTATTTTATCATACTTTCATCGCGCTGTATATCTCTTTGAAATCCTGTTCATATAACCGCGAAATCCTCTGATTACGCGTTTAATACGACGACTAGGGTTCGCGAACAATAATATTTAACGTCTAGATGGATCGTGTCGCACGATGTCAACGTTTAACGATTTCGTTGATCGCGTAAGTCCTATTTGCACGAAGAAGAACGTCACTTCAATAGGAGGTGTCCGACGTATTTAACTACATCTGGTGAATCCAGATAAGACCAGCTTACGGCGCCAATAACAACGCTCAAATTGTTTCAACAAATCGCGAGGCGCCTCGAGTATCGTTTTAGAGGGTTCCGGCGATTAACACAATTCCAATGGTCAGGGACGATCAACCTGACAGCACGCTTCTGGTGATCAAGCTGTAATCAGCGATAAGCAGTTATCGATTATCGATTAATCATATTCCTCGTCTGGCATTCCATTAATAAAGATATTCTTCCGTACTCGTTACTACCTCGATTAATCGCTGACTTGTCATTTGTTTATTAATATTCGAAGTTTGAGGAAGGAAACTTTTTTATCACAGATGACAGGAGCTTCGAAGAATGATTAATAGGCCTCCGCGATCACTCGTACTTACGCTTCTCTGTCCGTATATTACTGAGATGGTTGACTTCTTGGAGGAAAAGTATTAGGAAGAAGCATGGCTTTTAATTTAAATCAATAAGAATAGGAAAGGTTTCTAATTATACACGATGAAGCAGGTAAACTGTTACAGAACGATAGCAACTGTTTTAATTAATTTCTTGAGGCAATAGAAAATGTAATTTCATTTTAATCACTCTGTCAGTTTCCCTACGAAGAGAAAAGCATTCCATGGAATTCTTTCATGTCAACATAGCGCATTACGTGGGTGATCGATGTTTACGGATGCAATAAAATTGCGGAAAATCACCGCGTTCGTCGGAAGTCGGGAAATTGAATGCACAAACCGCCACCGATCGCATGAAACGAGGGATCCGAGGTTCTGGAGAATGATGCATACCAATCGAACGACCGCACGATGCGCGCGTGGCCAGCAGTAAATCGCGGGAAGTGCCGCGGCCTCATGATATTTAAAATGACGCCTGTGCGGATCAGCGGTTCCGTATTTAAAACCAGATGACCTTCGAGAACGGGAGAGAGACGAGGAGAATGGAGGAACGGCCATGGAACGGGATGCCTCGACTAACATCGAACTCTGGTTGTAGCCGTACCTATCCAACCGAGGATGGCGTCGACCTACACTCGCGGAAAGTATGTTGACGCGGTTGAAAAATGCGTGTTTTGAGAGAACAACAATGTAAACACGAGGGTTGCCAAAACCACGATGGATATTTTACTTTATGCTTCCTGATTCGTACCATTTTGTACGCAGATTGATATCGAAAGTTGCCGCTTGATCTTGAAGACATTTATTAGTGTACGTCAATGTTTGAGAATACGCTAGTTCATTCACAAAATTATACATTTCGTACTAGCAACTTTGTGAATGATCACATGAAATGTAGTTGTGCCAAAAATATGGGTGTCAAGCTTTTAGAAGAAAGTAATTCGTTCACAAAATTACTTCTCCAAGAGTAACAACTTTATGGTTGAACGTATACAGCATATCTAAAATGATTTCATCAGTTGAAAATGACTGTGACGGTATTCTGCCTATAGGCAGCCGCAGCTGAGATCACTTAAAAGTGTCAATCTTGCTATTAGCATCGATTTTCTCTTCGCGACGCCGTTGCAGCATTGAATCATGAACGATTTTACTGGAAATGAATGAGACGTGATTTCGTCGCGCATTTTTCTCTAGATGATGGAGTCACGTCGGGTGATTTACAACTCGGATGCGCACTTTGTTTTTCCGTTTGTCAGGCGATCCTTTGTCGCGTCAGATAGAAATATGGAGCTGATGTCCTTGTTTATTGCAAATCTGTTTACTCGTTGGTAAATAATAATGCACCAGGGTGTTTACGAACCGTTGCTTTTGACAAGTGATTTGTATTTCATCATGTTTCATAATTTGTATCCTTATCTTTGCCGGATACGAGCTAGAATAAGGTGGTGGATCTCGAAATTTGTCTCAATTAATTCGAAGAAATGTTCGAAATTAACAATGCTATCGCGGATCGGATTTTCTTGTGTCTAAACTTAATTAACGATTTCGTCTCACGATAAGTTTGGTTCCTACTTGAAAGGGTTTTCTTGAAAATGTCGGTTGCGCAGCATATTTTGCGGAGAGTACACATATTCCTTATCTCATTCCAAGTATCGCAGATAAAACATTGGGACGTTACCTTATCTGAGTCGCATTACGTGACGTATTTCAGGCAAGATTTCCAGGCTAGTCGATGAACCCGAGCTCATTATTCCCATGGTTATCAGGCCTCTTTGAAACCATCCTTATCGAAATAATGTAGGTTTTGTACGACAATAACGAATTCACAATTTCTTAAATGGTTAATTTGAAATTTAAATAAATTTTTCATTCTACGAACGAAAAAGAAGCTTCGCGTGTCGTTATAGGCTCGACGATAAAATAAATGGTACCGTTCTCAAGTTTAAATTTAAATTTTAGAAGGAAGAAACAAATTCAAGACTGCGGCGTAGAATAATATTCCTGTAAACATAATTGTATTTGCATATTCCTCGAATTCTAACAGCCTTACAAAATTAATTCAAGCTTTCATCGAAGACTCACCAGGTAACAATGTTATTTTGACAAGTAAACGTGCCACTGCCTTGAAAAATATAGCCTTCTGTTTCGACGAGTCCGCATGCACTTCTCCCTCCTTGGAACTGTTGCTCCGAACGGAAACAGCGATTCGTCTTGTAATAACATTAACAACGCTCCAATCAACTTGAATTACCCGATGCACTGATTTGCATACATTGAATTTACCTTCGCGAGTGTTGCACCTTTAAATTAACATCGAATTACTTCTTAGCTTATTCCTTTGATTTCAACTCTGACAATGTGAAGCACTGCGCAGGTTTCTCACGTTAATGTGTAACAGTACTCGATGTGCTTACGTTTTGATGTTCATTGGAGATTACGGAAGTATTATATACAAAAAGAAATTGTATCCTTCATACAGGTCTATGAGAGTGTATCTTCTGTAATTCTAAAATACAATTTCTTCCATTGAATATCGGAGAAGTTGTTGAAACTTTCAGTGTGTAAACTTTTGTAAAAAGAAACGTGATCGTATATTATTGAGATATTAAAAATAACCGCGATTAAAACGACGCAATTACTTTTTTCCTTGTGTGATCGTGATTGGCCTTGCATGACTAAAAGGAACCGGCCAGCCTTGGAATCTTCTTGATATTTTCAAGAACAAAAGATTATGGTACCTAGCAACACTCGAAGTTTGCGCAATATTTCACGATTTCACCCAAGTTTTTGGACATGCTTTCTGTCACTCGTTAAAATTTAGAACTCTAGCGTAACGATCATTATCGAAGTCCTTTTTACTAACAAATGTCGTTTTTGTTTTTGCAGGGAGCCAGTGTACAAATTTTTCAACATTATAATTACCCCTTGAAAATGGATTCGATTTCTATACTCACCGGATATTGTAGGGAAAGTGAGTCCATCGCAAACACCAAGTTTATTGATAACGAAAGTGAGGAGAAAGCTTTACTCAGCCAGATTACACAGGGGAGTGGCCACCGAAGGAAAACACCATCGAAGCCAGGACGAATGAGAGGGACATCAGATATTAATTGGCAAAGGAACAATGGAATAACGTGCTATATGAGAGGTCTAGATGAGTCGTACGCGTACACAAGGTAAGTACGTGTAACACTAGTAGCTGGAACCAGTCCATACACTGTTAACGTCATAGAAAATAGCCACTAGCCAGACGAAACGCGATATTAGAGATGGACTAGTCACCCAATTTTAAGATTGTTTGTCATGTGACTTTTCTATTTTCACGTCTACATGTACTATTTGAAACTTTGTGTTTTTTATTTCTCCTACTCGTAACTTATTTATATATCATAATTTTGTTACTCTACTTTATGAAATTCGTTTTATAGAGGGCAGCCGAATTTACAGTGAGCTTGTTCGATGACTAAAATGAGTTACCAACATCCAACGAATATTATTTTCAGAACCATAACTTCATTTGCTCCCGCGGCAGAATAGTTACGTTCTACAACATGTGCTCAAAACGGCTACATGTTGCCATAAATAATAACAACATCTATCATTATATATTTGCACGGTACAAGCGTACAGGAAATAATATTTTCACAAGGCTGGTAACACTCTGCCATAAATCACCTGATTTTCGTGGCGTGTAATCGTGAATCCAATTTGAATTACCTTTCTGCACGTGACCGAAAATAGAATTACCGTTCGGTACATTGAACTTTCTTCAGATACCCGTTGTAAATTTTCATGCGAAACGTGTCGTCGTTTCGACGAAGAAAATAAAAGTGATCACCTCGGTATTTCAAAAATCGTGACCTTCGCCGGTTCATGGAAGCAGCATCACCTGACCGTCAACGTGTCAAGTAAAGTTCTGTAACACGAATGACTTACAAAACGTTTTCAGACGCAGCGTTAGGTGACTGGTCGTGTTTATGACCAGTAGCGTGTACAAACGAGGTGATACACTCCGAGATTTTATAAATAGAATCGAGACACGAAAGACTCGTCTCGTCTGGAGTGAACGTTAATTGTACCGTTGCTTCAAATGAGGCTGAGACGTGCAGACAGTGCAGATCCAACCGCGAAGCGAGCAATTGGTTGCACGAAAGCGTTTCCCGACCGCTACACTTATCGCTTAGAGAATCTGATTCCTGGAGTCGTCGTCCCATCTTTCCTTACCGGATGGATAACGCTGACAACCATTCAGCATTTTTCTATATTAAATACAATTAAGAATATATTCGGTGTGCTTCCAAGAATCGAGTCAAGATCAGTTCGTGATGCATAATCTTTATTTTATTTACAAATAGAATGACGTTTAGATCTCCGTCTTTCAATTCCTCTTTAAGGTTTCTACAGAATAAATTAATACTTCGAGTAATAACCTCAGCATCATTTTTATACATTAAGTTTACGTTGTCGACCAAGTGTTGGTCATCTTCAGATGTTAAGAAATTCTTCTCCAAAGTTTATTTTGAGAATTTATATTATATAAGCAGAATAGTAATGCTTATTTTATTTGTTAATACAATAAGATCTCCTACTGCTATCGATAACCAACGATTTCGCTTCATTCCTCGGCATCTTTGTCCTAATAAGCGGTCAGCGCGGATCAACTAGGAAGCGTTAATAGACGATAAATTGAAATTAATGTCTCCGTTCTTGAACCTGGAGGACATCTTTCAATGTTACACGAACCTCAAGTCAATATTATCTCTGTTGGATTTCGTGACTCGTGACTTTTCCAGTAACTTTTTCCATAATTGCGATCGACGTGGGCGTCCCCAGACGTCTTCGGCTCCAGGATGCAGAAGTTTGTCTTGGCGTCAAAGAGGCCAGCGTACGTATCGAAGAAACGGGTTCCCCATAGCGCCGTGGCGGGAAGGCAAGTCCGACGTCTGCGCTCGCATCGATGACACGCGCTGTACTCGTACTTGACTCGAGCAGTAGAATTGCCCGCGTGGGTTAGACGGTGTGCAGAACCGGGAACCGTGTCAGTCCGCGCCGAGTACTTCGTGCGGGAGCTTGCGCTCTCTTAGTGTGGTTAACGGGGGTTGGTTAGTAAGCTCGGTCCCAGCTAAATAAATCTCCAGATGCACAGAAGAGGAGCGAGAGCTCGTCAATCGAAAATCAGAGATTCAGTGAGTTAAGTTTGTGTGTGAGAAGACAGGCATCCTCGGCTCGAAAGGTGTTTTTGTTCGCCACGTTCAGTCCAGGTAAGCATATCTCAGACTGTTTTTTCGTACCGTGACCTTGATGACGAATAACCGACGAGAGAACGATCATTTCGCGCCCAGTGTGTTGTTCTAGCAATCTAGCTTTACCGATTTCATAAAATTATTCAATCGATTTTGCAACTTTATTACAAGAACTAAATGTACAACTTTACAAGAAGTTTTTGTTTCGAAATGAAGTAAAGCTAAGTTGGTAAAACACTGTGCGTCACCTCCAACAGTTGGCTCACTTGGATATTCACTATGTATAGTTGAAAAGTTTGGAGCACCCTTCGATCTTTGGAAGTATAATAACAGGGGAAAACAAAACGTTTTCGTTAAACAAATTCTCTTGAAATGGATCAATGATGACAAAAGCGAAAGGGTTGAATATTTGAAAACGAAGTATAATTTGTGTTGCGAAGTATAGTAGAAACGTTGTATTGTGTCACTATCAATACACACAGCTATCGACAATCGACATTCTAATGTATAGTTTTTCTTTGTATACACAGTGGTTCACGGTCAGCATTAACCGCATGTTCCTTTTACATTACGACAAATATAGAAATTAATTTATCTTATTATAAATAAAAACAATTTTCTGTCGCTGCATTTTTTAAATTTTCATATCGCTCACTTGCATTTCTCCCTAGTGGATGTCGACCGTTTGCATCAGGAAGATTAAGTTTACTCATATCGGAGTATGTAGATAAGTCTTTCCAGAAAGAGCAAACTTTGCTCAAGTATTTCGTGCAAATTCCATTCTTAACTTCTCACGCTTATCGGTAACGCGCAGTTTTTCTGGGCTACCGGGTATCGTAAATTATTTTTTCCAAACACACGTCTTATATTCTTAAGGTGATATAGTTCTACGTACATTGAACATGTTTTGAACTCGGTAGTTTTAGTGTTAATTAACGTAATTTTATATATATCCACGCTGACATAAGAGATCATACAATAATTCTGTTTGTAAAACTCACGAGACTTCAAAAGTAACATTTCTTAAAATAACCAATAGTGTTGATACTCGGGTTAAATTCGACTTCAAAAATGTACGTGCTAAATCCACAATTGGTATTGATACTATGATTAAATCGGGCTTCAAAAATGTAGATAGTGGACATGTGACTTCGGAGTCATGCGGGGTGAAGATAAATTATCTTGTATATGCGTCGTATATATGTGTATCATAATTCAAAAACCACTATGTGGCCGATTTTGACTCTGAGTCATTGTGTACACGGTAGATCCTTCATTATACGAAACTCTGCTATCCAAACACTCTATAATGCGAATGTTGTGGTAGCAGAAGTTTCTATAACGTTACTCAAACAGTCACGTCCTTGCGAAGTATCCCTTCTCTTACAGAAACCTTCATCGGTAAGGATCAAAATTAATTCCAACCGCAACAATTTCAAATGTAACACGATGTGCTCACGCACATATTGTAATTACTCCCAAGCGGAAATGTGTAGTGCTAAATATAGAAACAGAACATGAGGCACGAGGAAGATAAATACAAAGTGGTGAATTATCTGTGAATATGTTATGGAATTAACAAGAACGTATGGTATTGGGAGAGTCATAATTATTGGTATTAAAAATGTGTTTCGCAGGAATGGAGAGAGGATTTAGGTGATTACAAGATAGTATGAATTTTTAGATATCGAAGTTATTAAAATTGCAGACGTTTCTTCACCTTCTCCATCGTAAATACTTCTCTAATGAGTGAGAAACTCTACTGTATTTAACGACAAAGTACTAAAAGTAAAATAGGTGCCAGTAAATTGGAATCTCTTTTACACCTAACAGATCGCAACGCCTAATCGACTCCCATTGAAATCGTTTTCTGGATCAGTTGACTTATTTATACGCTCTAAAAATCGCTTCCGAGGCGATAAATTCTTCGAATTGGACCACTAAGTATCGTCACGGATATACGACGAATTGGAACAGGACATGCCAACGAGACGATTCGACGATCCTAATCCGAGATTGTAAACCTATATTAAGAAAAACATCGACGTAAACTGACGCGGTGAACCAGGACGTACATGTGTAAATGACGAGACAGATTGTCAGCAGCGTTACGATTCCACGGAATACAAACACGATATTAACGTTCATCGCGATAACACAGGGTATCTCGTTAATCATAATGGAATCGGAGAAATATATACATATCGGACTCCAGGAAACCATCCCCAAACCAGCCCTATATGTATATTACGTTTCAGGAATCAAACTGATTTCCTGTAAATTGCTCCATTATATTCTCGATGATCGACGATATGAGGACGAAGATACGATAATAAAAAAAATAGGATACAAGGATATTCTAATGCGTGACTTTGAAGGCGTCTCCGCCTCTGGAGGCGTGTGTCGATATTCCATTCGCCTTAGAAAACGGGATTGGTCGGGGCTGGTTTCTATTTGCAAACCGGTAATCATGATCCTCGTCAATCTTTTTCCATTCGCGAACCGCTTTACCGTTTTTTTTTTCATCGAGTTAAGTGGCGTGCATGAATACCGACGTTCCTGCGCGCTGTGAAACACATCGTATAATTGACGAGCATAATCGAGCGCTCCGTTGCGAACGAGCTCACGTGGATCATTCGCGAGTCTCTTGTAGATCGCGTGTTGGTGATCAGGGATACCCCGTAAGCGTGACGCACGCTCGGAGATTTTCCTGGTTACTGCTAAAAATTATTAATTGTCGCGAGATTCATTCAACTGAAATCCACGTCATCGTCCTCTTTGCTGGCAGATGGGACTGTATTCTTTTTGCGTTATATCGTGAGGTGAATCATTAATAAATACCGAAAACGTTTTGCTTGAAATTGACGCAGCAAGGCGATACTCTTCGGGAAATATTTGATTGCGTGGTGTTACGTAATAATTAGTGTAAACGTATAGGTCAAGGTTATCTTTGTTTCTGATTGAAAAAGCCAGTTGCACAATTGTTTAATGAACATTGAAATCAATTTCCTGGTTTCCTCTATTGGATAACCAATAGACCAACCAATTACATTGGGAAAGTTGTCATTGCATTTAATTAGGCTGCTCTGACTAGGTGGTGTAGAGATGACGTAGTGCTGTGTCAACTAATTTTTGCTTGCACGCCTTTGAAGCATGACTGAAATGAAAGACGAATAGGATTCGTAGACCTTCCAGAGATCAACTTTTCACCTCGAAAGAGTGTATTTCAGAGATTCGCTTTGTCACTGGTGTCGGAATAATGCTTCACAATATTAGATTTGATGCGAAAAATAGATACCTATTTTGTTTACGGACTCAACGTGAAAATCACGTGAAATATTTATTGCTTTCCGTTGACAGAATTAGATTTTCGAGGTGTGCAGTACGTGACGAGATGAACGCGATATGCTTTATCAGCAAGAATTATTGTCTTCTCGATACGCGATGAACTATAGCAAACATGATTGAACTAGTGCAACGGTTGATTCATAATCATTACGTAAATTGTGTCGATAACATTGTTTACGAAATACAAATGTTAAATAGATAGTAATTATTTTTCAAAGCATTAATTCAGTGCATTACCACTCACAGTGTAATTTTTCATTATCAGAACTGCCTTCCTTTGTCATCAAGTTTAAGACGAACTTCACAACAAGAACTATAATATTTTTGAAGGTTTTTTTACATAGTTATTTGGCGTACTGTATCTGGCAATGAAGTTATTCAGTATTATTTTACGCTTATCACAGAGCAGTGGAAAATCGCGATAGGTTTGGTCTTGTCATTAGCAACTAATTATACAGCACGCGTCGAGACACGAATAGGTCAAATTGAAACATGACATAAGACTCCATATCATAATTTAATTAAGTAGACAGCCTGCGTCGTTGTTTCACATGGGATGCCGAACTGTAAATCACATTTTTTTTACACAGTTGATTATTGGTCAAGGTATTTAATAATCGCATAGCGTTCATTATTGCCTTCGGTTGTTGCTATTATTTCCTCGTGACTCGATAGCGGAAGAATATCCAGAAGGAATAACATTTGTACGTGCCTTCATTGGAAAAATTTAGTAGATGTTAGTTGTAAAACTTTTAATACGTTTTTCTCATTATGATGTTCTTATGAAGTTTAAATCCCGTATAATGATTTTGGAACCGGAACAAATTTCACGTAGGAAAAAATTGTCAAAGTTCACTTTCCTTTTGTTAATGCCAAGTGCACGTTGATTACTATGGTATTGAAAAGTGGCAACGACAGTTTTTGTTTAGATAGGCAGGATTTATTCGCGGATACGCACAATCGCGACAGACCATTCACTATTTCACAATTCTCGCACCGTTGCACGAGATCGCTATATATAACGCACAGCCGGTACGCAAGATATACTTTTAACTAGACACGCTTTGAACGAACCGTTCGAAAAAAGATTCACGTATGCACCTCGGAAAACACGCTCATTTTAATCCGGTACTTTCACTGGCTTTTTCCATGTCTGCGATTTCATCCTTAAATTTGAATTTCAAATTTACTTGGGCAAAATCTTGCTGAAATTTGATGCTCAAGTGAATGGATTTTTTTTTATAAAATATATTAAGTTACGCAGTTAGTATATTTTCTGAAAGGCTGCTTAGTTCTTAAATTCTACAATATTTATTCTGAAGTTTTGAATATCTAATTAGTTACGGCCAACTTTACCAGGCGAAACACAAAGGCAACGAATCCATATTAACGATGTGTCAGGTTCAATATTTCGCGACTGAAACGTGCAAAATGCTTTTTTCCGACCAAACAATCTATTTACAATTGTTTTACGTTCAAATTTTGTAAGTGGAAACTGAAGGTCGCGGATATGCGCACATTGCCTGATGGTTCACACTTCGCACACCATTAGCACGATGCTCTGAACGTTTTAACATATAGATAAAAGTCACATTGATCAAATGAACGCAAACATCGGAATATTTAGGAGCACAGAAGGCAATGACTTCGATGTTTTCCATTTTGCTGAC